GGAGGTGGAGGTTGCAGTGAGCTGAGACTGTGCCGCTGCACTCCAGCCTGGGCAACAGAGTGAGACTCCATTTCAAAAAACAAAACAAAACAAAACAAAAAAAGTTTGCAAGCATGGCCTCAACTCCTAACCTCTCAGGGGTTCCTCCAAAGTGAATAGGAGCCATGACCCTGTTTACTAGGCCTTGGGCTTCAGGCCTGCCTGATAGTACCTATGGAAAGTAGGGGAAAGGTCAGTGGAAACAAGTCTAGCTCATTCTTGGAACCACTTCAGAATCTGGGAAAGCTGCTGGGTTCTGTGTGTCTGGCTTTGTCCAGCAAGGTCACCTGCAGACAGGGCAGAGTCCAAGAATAGTCTGATCTTTCTGACACTTTGAAGTAATACAACTGATCTCAAGTGGTCACTCCAACCTTTGTCCTCATTTCCCCAGTTTCATGCGAAAAGGATGTGTGTGTATAGGATGTGTGCTGCTTTTCCAGAATCTTCTTTGTTCCTACTCTTTTAAGTTCCCAGGTTGACATTTGGTGGGCTTTATGGGGTGGCTGTGCTCCCAACATAGACACATAATTGACCAGGTTAGGACTTGGTGTGTGTATGTAGGGAACAATGCAAAAGGAAAATTTTCAATAGCTTTTACTTTTGTTTTTGCTGATCTCTCCCTAGTTATAATCACAGGCTGAAGTACAGCTATGGGAAATCCCAGTTACAGGTCCCCTATCTCCTTCCTGCCACTCAACACAACACCTCACGAGGACTAAAAAAGAAACACGTCAATCATCATAATTGCTCAATGACTCTGGAACGTTCTGCTTCTATTCCTGTTTCCTTCGCTGCTTCTACTTTTCTTCTTTTCTTCGAGACGGGTTCTTGCTTTGTTGCCCAGGCTGCAGCACAGTGGTGCAATCATATAGCTCACCACAGCCTCAAACTACAGGGCTCAAGGGATCCTCCTGCCTCAGCCTCCCTAGTAGCTGGGACTACTAGGGAGTGCCACCACACTCAGCTATTTGAAAGATTTTTAAGTATTTTTGTTGTAGAGACAGGGACTCGCTTTGTTGCCTAGACTGGTCTCAAACTCTTGGCTTCAAGCAATCCTCCTGCCTCAGTCTTCCAAACTTCTGGGATTACAAGTTTGAGCCATGGCGCCTGCCACTGCTTCTATGTAAACACTAACTAACACCCAAACTAGGCTTTTAAGGTGCTTTCTCTCAATGGAGTCACACTCTTTCTTCATTCTTTACAATGGGGTCAAACATATTCAACCTTAGATTGCCAGTCTCCATCACTTGATGCTGTAGGGAATTCAGTCAGCCTGCTTGAATGCAGTTGGGGAATGTTTTGAAGGTTCTTCTATATCCCATCTTACGGCTTTCAAATGCTCAGTAGGGTTGCTATGATAGCATGCCTCCTTATTCAGTTCCTATTCTGGACACGCAGCTTGCCCGTGACTGTTGCATGTCAAGTGGCTGGAACCAATCAGCTCATCTAAGGCTTCCTCAGAAGCCAATCAGAGCCTCGGAAAGTGACCTCACCCAAGGGAGAGCTCTGTGGGCGAGAAAGCATCTCTCAGATCTGTGAGTGTCCCTAAGTCACTCCCTTCCTCCCCACCCTCCTTACTTCCTGTAAAACAACACCGCCTACCTCCCTTCCCCCAAAGAAAGGGAGTGAGAAAGGCTAACTAAATTCCACAAAGGGAAGAACCAAAAGAGAAACTGCAACTCAGTCACACATTGGTTTCTGTAACTGGAGAATAGGATATTTAGGGGGGCTCACTCTGCACAGACGTACCTTTCAAAGTGGCGTCTCCAGGGTCTGGAAGAGGAGGGAGTATGGTGGATAAGTCAGCTCCTCCTTCCTCCTCATACGTGGTTTTCTTGACTTTCCCCACAAAAATTGCTGTAACCATTTTTTGTAAATAAGGACAAGACCAAGGTCAAGTGTGGGAAAGACAGGGTCTGTGTCCTTGTGAACATGTGTGAACAGACACAATCATGTCCTTGTGGCCTGACGACCAGAGGCTCAGAAGTCAGCTGGTCTGCAGGGGGCACAGACTGTTCTTCTCTACAACTTACTCTGCATTGCCCTACAGATGAGGCCTTGAATATTCCTTGGCGGGGCTAGATTGTGAATATGTATCCCACCATGGGGGTAGAAGGGAAGGGACAAAGGACAAGCGGGCTGTAACCCTCCAGTGTGTCACACCAGACCCTGCTTAGTTAATCATTTCCTTCGTTCCTCCAGCCCTCTATCACCAGGCCTCACCCATAACACAGACAGATAAAAACACTTTATTTAAAAGTATAAAACCAGGCTTACTCCTTCAAACTGCTCCCACCCCTATTATCTCCACAAAGAGCTATACAAATTGGGCAGGGGTATGTGTACAGTTATCTCAGCTCTAACAACCCCAGTTCTTCTTTCATTTCTCCTTTCTCCCTTCATACAATTGAGATATTTGTCCTTTGCACTTTCCCCAAGATAGCAGAGGTGATACAAACGTGGAAGGAGGGGAAGCGTAGAAAATAAACTGTCATCATCCTCCATTCCCATCTCCAGGGACCAGACAGGTTATGTGAACTCTGACCAAATGATTTGCTTGTCCGAAAAAACAAATAACAGGGACAGTTACTCTCTGTAGCCTCAAGAAAGACACAAGGGTCCAGAGACCTTCTTCAGTATATAGCCTCGTCCATATTGTCATCACTGTCACCCCCAAAGTCCTCTCCATTGTCAAAATATGACATGATGTAATCAGTTTCCTGAAATGGAAAAAAAAAAAAAAAGTAAAAGTCAATTTGGCATTCACCTTCCTTCCTGTGTACCAGACCCCTTTCCTCCCAGTCACACCATTCCAGGCCTGAGACAGCTCTTCCAGCTGTAGTTTGGAGAAGTGGGCAGAGGGAGTAGAGGGAAGCCCCTACCCTGGGGGGCACTATCTCTGTTGGCATGCCAACCCTCTGAGGAAAGCATCCCTAGTATAAAGAGTTGAGATCCCCAGAGTTTCTGGGGTAAAGGGAGGGGGACTAAGGTGGAAGGAGTCCCCTTCACCTCTTCATGTTCTTCTTCATCATACTCTTCTTCTTCCTCCTCTTCTTTCTCTTCTTCTTCTTCCTTCTCCTCATCCTCCTCTGAAGTTACTTCTTCTTCCTTCTTCTCCAGGGTCTCATGTGGGGATGAATAGGGATAGAAACTCAGGTTCAGTTCACAGAAGGGAAATATTGAGGCACACATGGGTCAAGAGACAGGGAATGGATCCAGGGCTCAGAAGGTCTCTATGCACACTTCCTCCTCACCTCTAGTTTCTGTATTGTTTCCTCTTTATCTTCTGTGGTCTTAGGGGGCCTCTTGGGGAGCAGAATTGTAATCCCTGGTGGGGGGATCAAAAGGTGAACCATCAGAGAGCAAATTTTGCCAGCTTTATAGCCCATCCTCATGCAAAGAACATGTCACTCTGCTGCCCTCATGTGGCCACTATGACATCTAGCAACAACACTTGGTAGATTGGGTATAGGAACTGGGATGGAAGGTGAGACCCGCAGTAGCCTTGGCCCTGAGGCTGATGAAGGAAACCTCTCTTCTCCCTCCTTTTTCCAGATACACTTACGTTCCTTCTGTAGCTTCCGCACTCGGATCTTTAGCTCCCGGGGTAGACGCCGCCAATCTGGGAATAGTGGGAATGTAAATGTCAATAGGACCCTGCTTGGGGTCTCCAGTGAATAATGACTAGTTTTAAAGGGGGACTGAGGGTTTTAAAGGAGAGAAAGGAAGGGGCTGGGTCAAAGTTGTTCAGAACAAAACTGTGGCTTAGATATCTCCTGAGTAGTGGGAACTATTTAATAGCTTTTTCAGGTAAAATCTGAGAGTGTTTTGGTACATAACTAAGGCTCTAGCTTGCAGATGTTGGATCAGGGAATGGGGTGGGGACATGGGCGTGGTGGAAATGGCTTGAAGCATCTCATGCATTTGAAAGAAAGGCAGTCAATGAAAGGGCCCATCACCTACCAGGGTTCCAATCGATGGCATTGTCAATCGGACCTGACATCTGATATTTGTCTGAATAACGCTCCACATCTGAGGGGTGGAAGGGTCAAAGTTTTATCCCTTGAGACCCAGAACAGGACTGTTCCTGAGAGTCTAACCCTCTCAATACTCAGGAATTATCTGTTTCCTTACCCCAAACTCAGAGCCCAGGGGGTCAGCTTCAGTGAGGACCTTATCCCTTTTTTTTTTTTCTTTTTTTTTTTTTTTTTTGAGACAGAGTCCTGCTCTGTCACTCAGGCTGCAGTGCAGTGGTGCAATCTCAGCTTACTGCAACCTCCACCTCCCAGGTTCAAGTGATTCTCCTGCTTCAGCCTCCTGAGTAGCTGGGACTACAGGCGCACATCACCACGCCCAGCAAATTTTTGTATTTTTAGTAGAGACAGGGTTTCACCATGTTGGCCAGGATGGTCTCAATCTCCTGACCTCGTGATCCACCCACCTCGCCCTCCCAAAGTGCTGGGATTACAGGTGTGAGCCACTGCGCCCGGCCCCTTATCACCCTTCTAACCTGTTTCTTTTCCACCCAAAATTATGAATTTTTTTTTTTTTCCAGACGGAGTCTCATACTGTCGCCCAGGGTTGGAGTGCAGTGGCGCTATCTCAGTCCACTTCAACCTCCACTTCCCAGGTTCAAGCAATTCTCCTTGCCTCAGCTTCCCAAGTAGCTGGGATTACAGGCACCTGCCGCCAGGCCTGGCTAATTTTTTGTATTTTTTTTTTTTGTACAGACAGGATTTCACTAGTTGGCCAAGATGGTCTTGAACTCCTGACCTCGTGA